CGAAAGACACCTGGCATCGAATTTGAGCAAAGAATTTAATCTTAATCTCATGAAGGCCCTTAATTCAAATGACGTTACGCTGCGTCGCGGGAGTCCGTCTCGTCGCCGCGGCTCGGAGGCGGTTCATTTAAATATCTTTCCATAAATTTTCCCCGAACAGAATGCGAAAAGTCTCGCTCGCCTGCATGGGCGTCTCGCGGAACTTTCGTGTCACTCCTACGCCCGGTTGGCATGGATGGAGTGGTGGGTGAGTTGGGGGGTGACGCATTGAAGGGGGTGTGGGGTGTTGGGGTTGTATGGTGGGTTGTATGGGGTGGGGTGAGTTGGGGGGGTGGACGCAAGGTAGGGGGTGGGTGGAGGTGAGATAGGGGTTGGGTGGTGGGTTGTATGGGGTGGGGGTGAGGGGGTGGATGCATGGGGGGGTGAGTTGGGGTTGGGTGTGGTGGGTAGAATGAGGTGGGGTGAGGGGGGTGACGCATGGAGGTGGGTGGGGTGAGTGGGTTTGGGTATGGTGGGTAGGATGAGGTGGGGATGAGGGGTGGACGCATGGAGGGGGTAGGTGGGGTGGGTATGGTGGGTAGGATGGGGTGGGGGTGAGTGGGTGGGTCTGGTCCTCCTCTTCCGGCTTGGAGGGGTGATGGGTATGGCTTTTTGATCTCCGCCCACGGGAATGGGTTGTATGGGGGGGGGAGGTGCGCGTGGGATGGGTTGAGGCGAAGGGGGTAGGTGTGGGAGGGTGGAGGGGAGAAAAGGGATAGATGCCGCCCACCTCCGCCCGCCTCCGCCCATCGTCTCCTTTCTCGCCAATTTGGATACCGAATTTCGTTGAATTCCTCCCCACCCTTACAAGACGCCCGGGAAGCTAGAAAGGATGGGAATTTGCCCCTTACGGACACAGGCCAAGACGGGCATTTTTTGCGTGCGATATATTCGACATCTGGGCTTCGTTAGTCGGTTCTGTATTTTTTTTTTTTTCGTTTTATGTATATTGGCTTAAGGTCGGTGTAATTGGATGGGGGGGGGGGGGGGGGCGGGATTGTTCTTGAAGGATTCATTAACATAAGCAGCAGCAAGATTTTACAGAATTGTAGGTCATTCTGTATGTGTAATCGATACATATACAGTATGTTATGTTGCGTATATATGTGCTGTGTATGTATGTATATATATGTGTGTGTGTGTCTGTGTATGTATGTATATATATGTGTGTGTGTGTCTGTGTATGTATGTATATATATATATGTGATGTCTGTGTATATATATATTATATATATATATATATATATATTATATATATATGTATATATGTATATATGTATGTACTGTATGTATATATGTATATGTGATATGGATATATATATGTATGTGATGTGTATATATGTATATATATATGTATATATATATTTATATATATATGTATATATATATATGTATATATATTATATATATATATATATGTGTATATATATGTATATAATATATATGTATATATATATATATATGTATATATATATATTATATATATGTATATATATATATATATATATATATATATATATATATATATATATATATATATATATATTATATATATATATATATATATATATACATTCACACACACACACACACACACACACACACACACACATGTTTGTGTGTGCATGTATGTATGTATGTATATGTATATAAATATGTGTATTAATATATGTATATACGGGCGGCTAGTTTCATTTGCAGAGAGAAACGTTTGAACAGAAACGTTTTAAAGCAGCAATATTGGTAGACAGGAGAATCGGTGGTGAGTTTGTAAAGAATAGGGAGATAATTTTTAGGGGGGGCAAGGTAATTAAGTAATTGTAAACATAAATGCATGTTTATTTTTTATTTGTGGATGTGATAAGATATAAAAGAAATTCGGCGCACACGTACGGTCAGCCATTTGAGTTCAAATGTAATTTTGTTTGTTTACTACATATATTACAATTATTTTTTTTCATTATTATCAACCCTATCCTCCTCCCTTTCTCCCTTAGGCCCCTCTCTCTTCTCCATCCCCTCCTCCCTCTTCTTCATGTCTTCAGCTCACTCCTCCATTTCCTCCGTTCCTCCCCCCTCTCCTAAATCTTCGCTCTTCCTCCTATCCTACTTCTTCCCCTCCCCATCCTTTCTTTCGCTCCCCCTCTCTATCTCCCCGTCCCCCGTCCCCTTTATCCTCCAGGCCTCAGCCCCCCCCCCTCACCCCCTCTCCCTCCCTTCTCCCCCCTCCTCCTTCACCCCCCTTCCCCTAACCCACTATCCCTTCTCCATCCCTCCTCCCTGCCCGTCCCCTCCATCCCCTCCCCCCATCCTTCCTCCCTCCCTCAGCCCTTCCCCTGCCCACAGTCCCCTCCCCCTCCCCCTCTCATGGCGTGGAGGTCATCGATTTGTCTTCAAAGAAATGGAAATGTGTCGTGAAATCTGACAGCAGAGAAAATATAAACACATAAAGAAAAGAAAAGCAGAGAAAGGAAAAGGAAAATGGATGTGCTCTTTACCAGTCTGTGTGTGTGTGTGCGGCTGTGTTTGTTTCCTCTCTTTTCTTCCTCTTTTCTTTCTTTCTGATTTCTTTCGGTGTTTTCTTTCATTCTCCGGGTTCTTTTGTTTTTATCATTCATTCTCCCTCGTTTTTTTTTTTTTTTTATTCTTTTCTATCATTCAACTTATCTCTTTTTTCTCATTTTCTTACTTTTTTCTTCCTCTCTCTCTCTCCTCTCTCTCTCTCTCTCTCTCTCTCTCTCTCTCTCTCTCTCTCTTCTCTCTCTCTCTCTCTCTCTCTCTCTCTCTCTCTCTCTCTTCTCTCTCTCTCTGTGTCTGTGGTGTGTGTGTGTGTGTGTGTGTGTGTGTGTGTGTGTGTGTGTGTGTTTACGCGCATGAGTGCATGCAATTCGTGTTAGGTCTTAGCATGAAATGAAACGCGAGAGTAGCAAAGCGAGGTGTGCGAGTATCGCGTGCGGTGCGGCAGGAACTGTGTTTGGGTCCTGTACAAAAGGGATGATATGACATGGAACATAAAAGTGTACCGCTTCGTGTGAGTATGCTTTATGACACTGGTGGCGTGTTTGTATTGATAAGTCCAGCTGTTGGAGCGAGAGTACAAAAAGTGGGGTTCACAATGGCCCGAGAACAACCGGAAGTAACACCCCTGACACGGAGACACACACCCTCGCCTGTACTGATCTCCTATCCTTTGGGCGCTCGCGGGATAGGATCTCGTAGGATGTCATAGGGGCGTTTTCTTCTCTCGTCCCTTGGCTTTGCGGTTGGCTCGTCCTGTCGTGGGCGTGGGTGCTCGTTATCCGGTCGTGTTTTTTTGCGTGCGAATTCCGTGAGGGAAAGGAAGGAATGCCGCGTTGTGCAATGCCCCCCCCCCCCCCCAGCGGCTTCCAGACCTTGACGTTTATTTATTTATCTGTTGATTCTTTTTTGCGAAACTTCATGGCTTTTTTTAATAACGCTCTGTCAATAATCCTCTTGTTATAGAGGGATGTGAAATAAAGGTTAGATCAAAGATTTTGAAGATCAAATGTGGGAAATTTAGCTCATCTAAATATTTAGATTTATCTTCTTCACTCTTGCAATGAATAGCAGATGAAAAGATGTTTGCGAATAGTGTTTGCGCTTTCTGCAATATGCAGCGAGGAAGCTTGCATGGCAGTGACAGAATGAAGCCAGCCTGAAAGAAGCAGCAAGCGAGGCAGTGAATAAGGAAGGGCGGCCCGGCGGGATCCAGAGGGCCTCGCGAGTGAAAGTTCGCCCGCCGGGTCACGTGCTTCCGTCGGAGGATCGCGGAATGCCGCTCCTCAGCGCGCCTTTGTGCTGTCAGACTAATGTCCACACCGCCGGCTGTTATGCCATCGATAGCGGGCGAGGCGCTTACGTCACAGGGTCGCTGGCTGCTGTCTGGGTCGTCTTCGTCACCGCTGTGCTGTCACTCCTGACGGGGACGACTCAGGATGCCCGCGGCAGGGGAGGCGAACCCCGGGTCACTGAGGCCACTCCGCTCGTGCCTGTCATTCCGCTCGAATTTCGCACAAAGGCGTTTCGAAAGAGGGCTCGGGAGTGCTTGCTGGTCCAGGTGTAGGATAATGTAGACGACTTCTGCTCATGCCTGATTAGGTAAGTATCATGCGCTAATTATCGGAACGAGTAGACCGGACAAATTGACTCGGGTTTTCATTATTTCACTTCTCACTTGAACTGTCCAGCATTTAATTGTTTGTTCTTATACAACATTACATCCGGTTAACGGCGTCCACTGACAATGCGTCCGGTTTTATACGTGAGCCGAACAGCACGCAGCATTTCCCGCGACAGACGTACAGCGGGTGTGTAAACGAGTGGCGGTGTCTGGCCTCGGCGATTGTGATCAATAACACGTTCCTTCTTGTCTCTGGAAAATGTTGTTTAGCGATAGTCTTCCGTTTCTGCGTTCTCGGGATATTGTTTTCGCTCTCGAAGACGCGTTTTTTTGTGTTTTTTTTTTGTTGCTTAGCAGTGTTCTTCCTGTCGTGTTGCAGGTCTCGTGGCGCTTTTAGTTATTGCATTTTGTGTTCGCAATGCGGTGTTTAGATTTGTAATATATTTTTATTTTGGTGCGTTTTGCGATGTTGTTTGTGTCGACACGCGATTATCTGCGTGTATGTGCAACATTTCCTCTCTTTATCTTTGCAATGTGCTTGTCTCTTACCCTTGTACCCTGGGCCACGAATCATGCAAGAAGCAACATAACAGCAAGATGTATGCGTGCGGCAGGCATCGACCGGAGCGGCAAGGTTCCAGCTAGGGTCAAGGCTCTCTCCCCTCCCCCCCCCCGTACCTCCTACCCCCTCCCCTTCCCCTTTCAAAAAAAAAAAAAAAAAAAAAAAAAAAAAAGACATTCCCATAGATGCTGTCAGGAGAGGCCCATTGTCTCCGCCGCTGCCTTTTCCTCCTTTTAATGCTGTCTCTTTGTCTTGCAGGTGAGCTTCGGTGAATGGCGGGGATGTGTGCATATTGTGAGCTGAATGCGGAAGTCAGGTATTGTTGATGGTTTTGGGCTTTTGGGGGTTCAGTATGAGTGGGCGTGGTGTTGCTGGTAATGCTATTTTTATCATTAATGTTGTTATTGTTATAATTATGTTTTTTGTTATTGTGGAGAGGATAGCTATTAATGTTGTTATTGTTAGATGTTGGTGTTGCGGTGTTTTTATTATTGTTGTTATTAGCAGTAGTCATCGTCTTCGTTATCATCAGTGTTATTGGTATTATTTCTGCCATCGTCGTCGTCGTCGTCGTCATCATCAATCATCATCATCACATCATCGTCATCATCATCATCATCATCGTCATCATCATCATTATCATCATCATCATCATCATCATCATCATTATCATCATCATCAATCATTAATTATCATAGAGACCGAATCGACGTAGCTGCAGCACAGGTTTCTACGAAGGATGTGAAACCACTGTTGCCACACAAGCCAAGGCGCCGGAGGGGGAAAGCGAGGAGGCCCCAAGGGTCGAGTCCGCGTTGGTAGCATTGTTTCCTTCCTAAACCATTCCTATAAAAAAAAGGGGCGTGTGTGTTGGTCATGACGTCATCGAAAAATCTCCCGATAGATAGTTTTCCTCTTTTTATTCCTTTCGTTTTTTTATTTGTCAAAAGGCATCTCTGGGGGGGGAGTGGGGAGGGGGGGGGGGGGGGCTTTGGCGTCCTGACCTCTGAAGAGACCTAATATGGGAATGGAAAAAAGGTCAGGTTTTCCGAGGTGAGATGCTGGCGATTAATCCGAAATGGGCGCCAAGGAGGAGACAAGGAGCTCTGCAGTTTCTCCAAGATGGCCGGAGATGCGAGGGATGTTGTTGGTACTAGTGTTGTTGTTGTTGTTGTTGTTGATTATATTATTTTTCCATCGTTATTATTTGCGTTGTTGTTATTATCATTATTAGTATTATATTGATCATTATTGTTGGTATTATTGTTATTGTTATTATTATTGTTATTTTTATCATCATTATTGTTATTGTTTTGCTGTTATTATTAGTATTGTTATTTGCTATTATTGTTATTGTTATTATGATTATTATTGTCCTTATCATTGTTGTTGTCGTTATTATCGTTATTATTATTTACTATCATCATTATTGGTACTTTTATTTTTATCATTATCATCATCATTGTTGTTGTTAATAAAGATAACAGTTTATATGATGATAATGGTGATGACAACAACAATAGCTCCTTAAACGTATGCATTTCTTATTTTAAAAGTTTCGATGATACAAGGAAATTGTGAAATGAAAAATGTTTGGTTTTGTTCTTTATTTATATTCCTGGCTGGCTGTTTAAGGGTGGGAAAATATAAGTAATTGGTGTGGCGATGTTACTGAGGTAGACATCTCATTTGGGCAAAAGAAAGGAAAGAGAAAGAAGGATAGATAATAAGAAAGAAAGAAAAGATAAGATAGAATAAGTAATAATGATACTGGTAGGCTATAACGAAGGAAGTGAAGTATAGTGTTCCTTGAATCTCTTGTCAGCTGATTTTGACTTTTGTTTGATTCATTTTTTGTTTGTTTGTTTGTTTGTCACCCGGGGCACCGTACGGGCGTGGATTAGCTTTGTCATGCTCGGTTTATGATCAGTATATCGTAGTATACCATAGAAGTGTAGGATATATCACGAGTATTCTTACTAGTACAGCAGTTGAGATAAGATTATCACATGTTGTATATCTGTGCTGTATGTATAGCAGTTCAAGTTTGTTTGTTTAAGTACCTGGTTGCCTGCTCAGAGGTGGGCCATCGCGATTAGAGAATTTTATATGTATTTGACACGAAAAGTATTCTGTAATTACTGTAATTGTACATGATAAAATTGGAATATAAGTCATATTAGGGTGATTTACTTTTGTCGCTGTATTTGCATAACGATGCTTAATGACTAAGGTAGCTTATATGGTTAATTGAGGATATGATAAAGAGTATATCAAGTTTAGTTTAGTCAATAATTTACTACCCTGGTAACAGCACATGCGTGGGTAATCTGTACTACAGCTGATACATGGTCATAGCATTATATAATAGCATTACATTGAACATTTAGGTTGTAACGTTTATTATGTGTATAATACGAGTTGAAAGGAATATTAATTACATAGTTTTTTTATCTGCTTATTTAAACCGCCGGAATAATACGTTTTTTTTTTTTTTTTCTTTTTTTTCGTTTTGTCCTTTATTTACCACCCTGACTAACTGCACTGGCATGGGCAAACAGTGGTACATTTGATGCATGGTCAAAGCATTATATAATAATATGACTTTGGAAGTTTAGGCTATAACATTATTACGTTTTTTTTTTTTTTAGTTTAGTTTAGTAAGTTTATTTATCATCCTAGTTAACTGCTCAGGCGTGGGCAGTCGTGATTACAGTGTTACATACAGTACAGTGTTCTGTGATTACAGTAATTATACATGGAAAAAGGGGAATATGCCATACAGCATGCAAACGTATATTACCTAATTTGATCTACCTTTGCCTTTGTGTTTACATAACAGTGTTCTATGGTGTGTTCTATGACTATGATGGTTTTACATAGTGAAATTAGGATATAGCATGAGGATGCTATGAAATAATCACATAGTTTTTTACATAATTGAGGATATAGCGTGAGTATATCTTCCAATGTATCAGATGCTATAAAATAGTCACATAGTTTTTTACATAGTCAAATTAGGATATAGCGTGAGCATATCTTCCAATGTATCAGATGCTATAAAATAATCACATAGTTTTTTACATAGTACAATTAGGATATAGCATGAGTATATCTTCCAATGTATCATGCTATAAAATAATCACATAGTTCTTTATACCTCATGTTAGGCGGTGAGATACGAAAAGAATCGCCCGGACACCGTAGACTTTCGCCTTCGTAAACGCGCCCACATCCGGGTCGCGCGGGGGTGGCTCCTCGACCGGAAACGGCCCATTTGCCAATCCGTAATTAACGGCAATTAATTCTTGGTGTGATGTATGTTTTCCCGTCCAGTCGTCGAGCGCTGGGAAGGCGGCTCGTTGTTTGGCTGTGTTGCCGGGGTGTTTGTGTCGATAAATTTGCATTCGCGGTTGTAATCACTGCAAAACATATGGCAAGAATATGCATTTGACGTTTTTTTTTTCTCTTTCTCTGACTATGATTTGTTTTTTTAAGGGAGAATAAACAAAACGTAGCTATTTCTGTAAACACCGACAAAGGCGGAAATAACGAAAGCTTATGCAGGAACTAACATTTACGTGAATAAAGACAAAACAAGGAACCCCACGCCGTCCGTACCACTTTGAAGATATCCTTTCTTCCCTTTTTTTTCCCCCCTCTATTTCCGCCCCCTTTTTTTCCCCTCTTATTTCCTCCCCTTTTTTTCCCCGGCGCCTTCTTACGAGGCCGATAATTCCCCGCGATCCCGTGATCTGAAAGGAATCATTGCGTCACCCAATGCTCCCATTTTTCCTCATAAACGAGTCTGGGGGCTTAAGGAAGGGGGGGGGGGAGGGAGAGGAGGGAGGAGGAGGAGGGAGGAGAGGGAGAGGGAGGGAGGGAGGAGAGAGAGGGAGGGAGGGAGGGAGGGAGGGAGGAGGGGGGAGGAAAGAGTCAGAGAAGGAGGGGGATGGGATGGGTAGAGGGTGAGAGAGAGGAAGGAAGGAAATAAGGAAAAGGAAGGAAAAAAGAAGACAAGGAGGGCAGGAGGGGCAGAGGAGAAAGAGAAAGAAAGTGAGAGTGGAGAGGGTGGAAGGAAGTAGAGAGTGAGAGAGAGAGAGAGAGAAAGAAAGAGAGAGAGAAAGGAAAATGAGAATGATATAGGAGATGGAGGGATGGCGTTAGAGAGAAGGAGAGGGAGGACGCAGAGAAAAGAGAAAGAAAGAAAGGGAATGAAAATAGGAAATAAGAGGAATAGGTACTAGATCCGGATAGAGGGAGTAAGTGAGCGAGAGGGAGGGAGGGAGACTGCTCGAGCGCCTGTCACAGGTAAGCCCTCCAAGATCAGAACTGAGGCGAGGCTCCGAACGCACACAAGGATGCGGTAAAAGGTGCTATCTTGTGGTGTTTCCCTTCCTTGGGATTGCTAGGGCCATTTTCGTTTTTTTTTTCTTTTCTTTCTCTCCAGCTTTCCTTTTCTCTTTCTTTCTACCTTGCTCCCCATTTCTCTTCCTTTCTGCCTCGCTCCCCATTGCTCTCTCCTTCTCCCTCGCTCTCCTTTTGTCTTTCTTTCCCCCTCGCTCCCCATTGCTCTTTCCTTCTCCCTCGCTCTCCTTTTGTCTTTCTTTCTCCCTCGCCTCCTCCCTTTCTTCCTCTCTCTCTCCATTCCCCTGAAGGAGTCGAGAAGGCCGGCGCTTCACGGGGTGACTTCACCAGCGGAGGGATAGAGAGGGGGGCTCGGAGGAAGTGCGGCTGTAAGGTCCAAATTCTTCCTGGTTTCCACCGAGAGTTTCGACCTCTGTTGCAGTCTCATCCTCATCATCACCGTCATCTCTTGAGCAAAGCCTTATTTTTGGTCCGGAGGCGCAAGTATGCCTAAAAATGATAATGGAGAGTGCATTAGACTATGAAACATTCACTTTCTGGGAAATCCATTACTGCTCAGTCCATGCCTTCAGAATAATTGTGGATTGTTCTCGGGGGGAAAAAATGGGTTTTGTTTAGCGAAATGGCATAAATGGGTCTTGGCCAGGAGGCTGCCTCGGGGGTTGGGGGGGGGGGCAGACTGAGGCGCGTTGGCGGATACCTGTGGAGCCGTGCTGGTGTTCTGAAGGAAACGGGGAAAGTGCTAGGTAAGGGAGAAATAGATAGATAGACACAGCGGAGAGACAGAGACAGACAGACAGAGACAGATACAGACAGACTGACTGACAGACTGACAGACAGACTGACAGACTGACTGAGACAGAGACAGAGACAGACTGACTGAGACAGAGACAGACTGACTGAGACTGAGACAGAGACAGACTGACTGAGACAGAGAGAGAGACAGAC